GCCCGTTCCGCACCTCAGCTGCCATCCACAGCATCCCCTGGAAAACAGTCATCAGCCGTGTCCTGTGCTGCTTTGTGCTTTGAGCAGTAGCTTTCCCCTGGGGGTGGACTGCACGTTGCGGTGATGCTCTCTGCTCCTCCTTTCTTCTTTTCATGTGCATTTCCTACTAATCATTTTTCTTAGCTGTGCTGCTTTGGATCAAGGTTCCATAGCCAGCCTTGCAGCTAAAAAGATACGGTGATTTTATTTTTCCTTATTTCAAGTCAGCTTTGTGGTTTGGTTTTTGTTTTTTGTGTTTTTTTTCCTAACAGTGTTCTTCACGCAAAGTGGCTGACAGACGACCCTCAAAGAGGCTAAAATGTGAAAAAAGGAGTCTAGTAAAATCAGAACTAGAAGGACTTACATGTGGAAGTGAAAACCTTGCTGCCTTGGGGGAAACGCCTAAAACATCTGAAGGGGATCTATGTTCAGAAGGTCTAGGAGGCTGCGGTATAATTCAGCAGAAAAAAGGTGAAAGCATTTCAGAGACTAATGAAGACAAACAGGAGGAGGAACGTAGTATTTCTCTCAAACCACACGCAGTGAAATCGAGCAGCGCTCCATCAGAAACGGACGGTGATAAAAACGCGCACAGTGAAGTCAGCAGTGAGGAGGAGAGCAGCTGTGAGAGTGTGCTTTCAGGTGGGTCTAGCGTGGAGGATCTCCCGAGGAAGAGGATACAGCTAGACAATAGCGCTTTCTTGGATGAAGACAGCAACCAGCCGATGCCAGTGGATCGCTTCTTTGGAGATGTCCAGTTCATACAGGTAAAAGGATGACACTGTTCGCTCTACAGATTCAGTTCTGTCCCGCATCGGTCTCACATCTTCAAACCAAAGTGGGCTAGACTCAGAACTGTTGGCAAGCTTGACCAGTATTGGCAGATACCTGGAGTTGTATCCCTGAGCCCCCTAGATAGAATTGTCTCAAGAGATTAAATTGCCAAGGCAAGTTAATTTCAGATGTGAAATCTGTCTTAATTATTCCAATTCTTTAAGACAGATACTTATACAGTGTTCTGTCAAAATAGTTTTTCACTGGACATTTGTTCTTAATCGTGGCTTTTGTAATTCTTTGGAATGGAAATGTTTCTGGTCATTAGCAGGGGTCATGGTTTGAGCGGGAGCAGGGGGGATTCACTTGTGGAGCGCTTCAGGCTCCCTGAACCTTCTGAAGCCAGCAGGAATGCCAGCCCCCTGCTTTGGCCCCCTGCTGGGACTGGTTCAGGCAAGCCCTGCTCTAGCCACGGCTTTACGCCAGCCCTGCTCTAGCCACGGCTTTACGCCAGCCCAGCCCTGCTCTAGCCACGGCTTTACGCCAGCCCTGCTCTAGCCACGGCTTTACGCCAGCCCTGCTCTAGCCACGGCTTTACGCCAGCCCTGCTCTAGCCACGGCTTTACGCCAGCGCTTCCAAGTGAAGAGGCGTGTTGTGTTGGTGCCTGATGCATCAGGTGTGGAGGGCTGTGACCTGGAGGGGAGGTAGGAGGTCTGCCATTTGTTGCACCAGACTTCCCTTAACGATTTTCTCTTTTTTTTCTTAAAGGATCTCCCACCAGTTGCACTCCCAAGCACAATGATGAGCAGGCGAGAATTCAGAAAGCTGCATTTCATTGCAAAGGAAGATGAGGAGGAGGAAGAGGATGTTGTCTAACAACAAACTGTAAACAAGTTAAACCTTTTTTTTTTCTTTGCAACCACGTATGATGGTTGGCTGTGGCACTAACAGAAGGTGTCTGTGTTTGCCTTTTCTCAGAACCAGTAGAGTTTGTTTTTCTGCAACTGGGAGATAGAGTTTTCCCCCACAGTTATCTGGAGCAAAGACTGACTGAATTTTCAGTGATTTGGAAATAAATTGTAGTTTATAGTTTTACCACTTATATTTAGGAAGAAAACAGGGAAAATAGAAGTTCTTACTGCCTTTTTTATAAATTTGAGCCCATATCTGGAGTGAACACTTTGTGTCCTTTTTTTTTTTTTTCTTAAATAGCCAAGACAAGCATTTTAAGAGCAAAGTCCTTTCAATTCTGTGATGGCAGCCACTGTGGCACCCAGATAGTAATGCAGCCAGTTGTCCACCCAGCCCCTACCCCATCACTTGTGTCACTTTGTTTGCATCTCAAGCAGAAACAATTACACCTCTGCAATGCAGCTCTGCTGGCAAAGCCAAGCACGTGGATGTCAGTGTGGGTTCAGCGGTGTCAATCTCTGAAGTTAAATACATTTTTATTGCACGTCAGTTCTCTGAACCACCCCCACCACGTGAAGCTGACTGCTTCCCGCTTCCCCCAGGCCTGCCAGGAGCTCTGCCTGTTCTAACAGTTGTGTAACACAGCTCATGCAGTATTTTCAATTAACTGCCAAGAGTTAGGAATAGGAAACTTGTAAACAAATACACTGGTGGTGATAAAGGAGGAATAAAATCTCTCTGCAGGACTCAGTACACGAACGAGTACTGATGGCTGAGGATACGGGATAGTCCACCCAATCTGTTATTTTGGCCTTCATTTTTAGAAAATAATGAGCAACCTCTGGTGGTTTCAGGAACTGTTAACTCACCCAATGTTTATAATACTTCTTTGAAAGTGTGATTATGCAATAAGCTTCCACATCTTTATTGTTGAAAATAGTTTCTTCTACGTTTCTAAAAATATAAAATGTTATCAGCAGACGGTTTAAATAAATATTAATTTCTACAGCTATAGCCTGTTAAACACTCAAAAGTTGTAAGCCAAACAAATTGCATATGCATGACATGTTAATTTATTCACATTTCCACTCCAGCTGATGCATTGTTTCTGTCAACGATATTTCTTGGCTCCTTTTCACTCTAATTCTGTAACACAGAAAAATCTAATTTTTTAATAGCATATTCATGGTTTTCAGCACAACTCCATCTTGAAGTAGCTCTCCCAGCTTTCCTCAAATGCCGTATTTGCTACCGTCTCTTTCTAGCAAACGTCTTCACACACACTCACTTTAGTTTCAGCACTGTGTAAAACGGGGATTTTCAGTTGGCAGGAAGCAGGCCGTACAGACGACATCGTGTTTGTCATCAGAAGCCGAGCTGCGATGCTTCCCCTGATGTCTAAGCAGCACGGAGCACGTTTCCATCCTGGCTCCTGCTGGGGGTGTTCAGCCAGGCAGCTGCAAGGATCGATTCCGTGCACTGGTACTCAGAACCCCGTGTTAAAATGCGCCAGCTTACTTTTCCTATTGAAGCGTCTGGGAGGGGGACTGAGTTTGTTTAGAAGTGAATTAACACTCTCCGTAGCAAAGCTCCTGCATTTCTAAGACTGCTCAGTTGTGGCTCACACAGCAACGCTGCCTTAGTGCAGTTCTGTGGGGACTGCCTGGATTTGCCCCCGTAGGAGCCCCAGTGACAGCAGGGGTGACAAGAGCTCTTCCCTCCAGGTGAAGTTATTGAGAGCAGTAACTGGTGCTCCATCCGCAGACACAGCTCCCTGCGCTCAGTCTTTCCAGTTTGTACTGGCCACACTGTCTTTACACCTGATTAACTACTCCTGTGCCTCTGCCTCCACATACATACACAGAAAGATGGTGGCAATTTTTTTATTTAAAAAAAAAAACCTGGCCTTGTTCACACTGACAGTCCCCTAAAAGTTCAGCTGGTATTTTAAAAACAAAATTCAAGTAAAAATTGATTTATTTGTATTTTGTTACCTGAGGTAGAAGTGTTTTGCAAAAGCAATATCCTCTAAAGCACCAGGTAAACATGATTTTTATACAGTAATGTTGCTTGTACTGCTTCAAGCAAAAGAGGCAGAGACTTTGAAAGGAAAGAAATCAATGGGAAAGATGACAAAGAATAAGGTGGCAAAAGCAAAGCTATGCTGTGGCCTTGCTCCTCTAAGAGACGAGCAGCAGGAGAGGGGCCGGGGCTGGGTGCAGGTATTTTGGTACAGAAGAGCCAGCGGCTCTGCCCCTGAATCGTCCTTTGGCACAGCCAAGATACAGCCCTTGGCTCCCTGGAAAAGGCACAGAGCAGAATTATCCTGAAGTATTCTTCCTTTGGCTTCATATTCAGAGAAATACAAATCTACAAGTCCCCCCAGAGGAGCTTCTAAGAAGTCTTTGGTCTAAGTTTTGTTGCTGTGCACGGTGGTTTTGGGCCTACGTTTGTCATGGCAAGGAGGATGGGAGGGCATCATCCCTGGCAGCCTCTGGCCTCGTGTTTACACTCTCACAGCTGTACTTCATGGCAGTGTGATCTAAGGAAGGCTCGTAGTCAGAAGGCAGGAGAGCAGAATTAGGCGTGATAGGAACATACATGTGAGAGTGCAGCTGATTTACTTGCAAGCCTCTTTTGCCAGGGACTCCTAAATAAGTTTGTCTAAGAAACCAGAGCTATTTAAAAATGATACCCTGTGACGTGACTTCAAAAGAAAGCAGAAGTCACTTCCAGAGATAGCACTACGAAATCTTGTGGTTTTGCTTCCTTTTTCTGTAAATTTTAGTTTTGTCACAGCTGAGATTATGATTGGTTTTCTTATGGCAAGCAATATGCACAAGTTTTAAATTGTCCACGGTAAAGAGCAGCTGATAGAAGTATTCCCAGTTCACTTCTCGTTCACCTCGCGTTTTGACCGCTTCTGCCAGTTCTGGGACGACAGCACGCTTCTTCTCTATTCTTCAGGACACAAAGGAGAAAACAATATTGCCATCAAAAGCTTTTCATAATAATCAAGTCCCCATCTTCCTTTTAGAGCCAGGCAGAATTTGAATTCTTTCGCCATAACTAGGTTTACATTTTTTTTTTCTGAGGAAATTAGATTAAGCAAATCCTGTTTGCCTCACAAGCGCTCAACGCCTGAAAAATGGGTCTGTGGGTTTCTGCTCCAGAGGAGTCTTTACAAAGGGTGATGTGGTGAGGAGGGGTATGTTTCCATACAAAGAAAATCTGAACGGAAGCAGAGCAACTAATGAGACAGCATTATCATCTGTCTTGGGGATTTTATGTTCCCAGGAACAGCTGCAGCACCCGAGCATCTTTTATCACCACGCACTAACTGCGCAGCGGGGGGGTAAGGACTTGATGGCTGCACCTTTCCTGCCTAAGACGAAGGGCATGAAACTGGTAAGTCTGGATGACTGCTTTGTACGTACACGTGATCGAGATTCCAGGTACTGAAGAGGATTCTGCTCTCCCTGTTACTGTAGGGGTTGATGGAGTGCTTAGAGGGGCAGTCGTCTCTGTCGAAAGGTCCCTGGAAAACAAGACAGCTGCAGGCACAGGCGTACTGCTCCTCCCCCAGGCAGCCAACGACAGACCCACACCAGCTTCCAAGGGACCGTTTCCTTCCTCTGATGTCATACAGGTCGGCCACGGCTTGCTGGGACCAACACTGCTTTAGAAAGGGCTGAACTTACCTGACACGAGAACCACCCCTCCGCAGTGCACAGCCGGACTGCCTCCTCCTCTCTCCTGTCAAAGTAGCACCCGTTGTATTTCACAGATCTCAGTTTATCTGACATCAGGTCAATGATCCTTTTGTACGCATCTCTTGCTGTAGGATGAACAGTTGAAATAGAACTACTAACCTAGAGGGGGGGGAAAAAACCCAACAATCAATCATTCCTTGGTGGCTGTAGCAGCCTGAGGCTCTCTTTTTACAATCAGTTCATTGCGCTGTAAAAGCATTCTATACATATGTGGTCACAGAATTACCTTGAAAATAAGTAATTTTAACAGAAACTTTTACCTCTTTCATGTAGCTTCGTATTCTGCTTTCACAACTGTATCGCATGTAGCTTGATTTGTTCTTGAAACGAGACTCTAGACCTGAAGGGATTTAGACTGTGTTGGAACTTGGTACTTAGTGCTGTGCCTCTGCCTGGCTGGGTATTTATCCCTTCTTTTCACAAACTCAGTATGCACAGATTTTTTTTTTTCCTTTCCCATTTTTATTTTACTGGTTCAAGACTACCCTGCTGTTAGCACTTAAAAGGACCACGCAGAGCATCTGCTGCGAGAGCAGTAGCTGATATTATAGTTGTTAAACGTTTCTCCTTATTGTGCACACACACAGAACGCTACAAGATTATTAAAAGAAAACCAGATTGTTCAGGAAGAACTGCAGCAAGGACTTGGAATGGGAGGGGGATCTTGCAAAGGAAGTATAAATAAAACATAAAGCTGAGCTGGCTGATACGTGCCAGCTATCGATATATTATTAGCAAACTGCTATAAGATTGTAAATGCAGATCTACGTTAACGAGGAAAAATGTATTCCTGACCGATCTTGGATAGACAATAGGGATCATTGGGGTTTTTACCATTTTCTGATACTAAACATGCACGTATTTTAAAGAAACTTAAAAACATGGCCTCACGTAAGCGGTAGCTAATCCCCCGGCCAGGTACCGCCTCGCACCAGCCAGGAGGGCTCCCGGATTTATTTTTACGCTTTTCCTCAAGCACAGTAAAATTGGCAGAAGGGCCCCGGCGGCCCCCCCGGGCGGCAGAACTACCTTCGAACCACCTCCCGTCCTCCTGCCTGTCCTCGGCCAGGATGTTCTCGCTCAGGTTGTGCAGGAGATCGGCCAGCAGCTTCTGCCTCTGG